GCTGGACATCCAGCATTTAAAGCCATTATGTAAATAACCCAAGTATTACAATAATCTGTTACCTTTTAATTTTGTTTGTTTTATTGCATTGAATCATAAGATAAATCATCAGATAAATAATGTTATTAAGTTTGTGTTTTTGATTCGTCCAAAGGACCTGACTTAACTTTACTAGATTTTTCTACCTGGATTATTGAGCATCTGTCAGGAAATGTTACTGACTTACTTTATGTATATGAATGTTTCTGTCCAGTACCCTGAGATGACTTCTGTTGTGACTTGGAATTATATAAATAAACTGAATCGAATTGAATTGAGATAAATGCAATCAACAGAACCCAAAACCAAAATTAAATTAAATTAAATTCAAACATACTTTATTAATCCTTGTGAAGGTAGTGATAGTGTCTCTGGGTCTGTGGGTTCAGAATAGGCTGGATCCTCGTACTGCATGGGTAATGCAGAGGCTGCAGGAGATGGGGAAACTACGGGGACTGTGGTAGGCCAGGAGGCGACCACAGGGGCTGCAGCTGCGAGGATCTCAGTATCAGGGAGTCCGGGACTGGTTCAGAAACAGAGGAGTGGTGTTTGGGTGGAGGACTAGGACTGGCAGTGTATGGGTGGATGAGTGACGTCAGCCAATGTCCTTCCTCCAGCACCTGGTCCAAAATGGCCTCCATACCAGGAGAGTCAATTAGTACGGGAAGACGAATATATTCATCTAACATGTTTTTTGTGGCCACCCACCTCTCCCACAGGTTACAGGAGGTGGCTGAGTCCACATACAGTACCTCTGGACTGAGTCACAGAGTTGAGAGTAATCCTTCATAGAGAGTCCAGACAAAAATCTCACCTGCTGGGTTCATGGTTGGTCTCATTGTACTGTCAGGGTTTCAGGCAGGTCAAAACAGGACAAAACCCAGTAATGCAGGGAAAGGTCAGGACTCCAGGATTTACAAAAATAAACACTCTTTAATAATAATAAATCAAAAGGGCTGACGTGGCAGCAACTTACAAAAACAACGAATGAGGAACAGATCAGGCTGACAGGACAATACCCAACAATGAACCGACAAAGGACAAGACTCACAGACAGACTTATATACACAGACAGGACATAATTACAAACAGCTGGAACCAGACAAAGGAGAAATCAATCAGGATTAAATGAGACACTCAAGGGTGCACAGAGAAGGCCCACAAGATGGTACCATCCCGACAAGGACAACTTTCCTGGTAGGATAAAACATTCTTCTCCTGATGAAAGAAATGACTCTCATTGCCAACGAGGTTTTTAGACACAATTTCGTTCATGAATCTGAGATAAAGTTTACCTAAATTTTAATTTCAGAACTAAATTGGAATAAAATATCTTCGCATAGTCTTTAGACTATTTACATCATTCACTTTCTGAAATAATATTATTGATTATTTATTCATATTTCATATTGGCCAGAATTTCATATTGTCACTATTCAAACTAAAAATAAACATTACAGAATTGTGATTTTAACTGATCAATTTTTGTGTCTTTATTTGAGTGAGTAGAATCAACATTGCCAAGAACTCACATTATTCCTTTGATTGAGGTCAACCCGCATTGATTATTTTGATTGTTGTTGTTAGGCCAGGTTTCCGTTAGGCAAAGAACAGCACAGTTCTTCATCTTTGTAGAAACACTCATCCTCAAATGTAACAAGTCCACTTTGTTATCTAGTGAGCGGACATTGGCCAGAAAGAGAGTAGGAATCAGTGGTTTTCTAATTTTTAGCTGGGCCAACGCACCCCCCGCCCCGGCTTCCTCCTCTTCCTCTTGACCGTTGCTCCTTGCACTCTGTTGCACCATTCTGTTGTCTTGAGGAGCAGCTGCCACCAAGTGTGGATGTCAGAACTCAGCCTAACTGTCTTTGATGGCCATCAGCTCAGTTGAGCTGTACCTGAGCCATGAATCCAGCACTGAACCAGTACGTAAAACAGCCTCATAGGAATTAAAATAAGGGTTAATCCCGGGAGCATGAGAAGCCGCTGCACTTTCTGTACACTGCCTTAGCCACCATAGCAAAATTGCCATAGAAAAATCAAAGCGGCAAAAGAACAAAGCCCACCTGGCTTGCCTTGGATTTAATCTCTTAACAGTCTTGAGATATTCAAGGTTTTTATGGTCAGTCCAGACTTCGTTTGGTTCTTTGGCACCCTTTAGCCAATGCATCCACTCCTTGAGGGCCAACTTGACCACTAGTAATTCACGTTCACCAACATCATAGTTGAGGAGAGGCTCCTAGAAAAGAAGGGACAAGGGTGAACGCTCCCTTCACTGCTGCGCTGGCTGAATATTTCTCCCACCCCAGGGCTAGAAGCATTGACTTCAACAATAAATTGACTGTTAGGATCAGGCGCCTGTAAAATGGGGCAGTAGTAAACAGTCTTTTGAGTTTGGAAAACACAAGCTCAGCTGGCTTGTTCCAGATTTGTCTATTTTTTAATCTTTACTGATTAAAAAAATTAAAAGAAATTTAATACATAAAATGTTTTTAAAAACTGTTTCCACCATCTGTCCCAGACCCGTCCCAATCCACCGTCTGCCGGGATCAGGTTCACCCTTCATGATTACGCAACGCCGGGGTCCAGGCAACGGCCTTAAGTGAGTCAGCAGCTCGTATGATCCTCTGCGGTGATCAGTGTAGCTCAGAGCCCGCAGATCGGTCAAGGCCGGGATCCAGAGCCCGAGCCCTGAGTCGGAACCATGGAGGGTGTTCCGTGGTGACCAGCAGAGCCCAGAGCCGAAGAGATGATGCCCTTCCTGGCCTGGCTCCAAGGGAGAGGACCGGGTAGACCGACAGAACTCCATCTAACTTGCTCTGAATTTTGTCGTCAGCCACCAAGCACAAAAAAATGCCTGCACTTCACCATTATATCATTGTGTTTTCATTTTTTTTTATCTTAAAAATAGGTCCAGCTGCTGCTCTGGGTTCAGAGTAATAAAAAATGGTGCATTGGTGTTTAGAAGTTTCTGAAAGATCCAGTCCCCCTGACCAATCAGTGACCAACAGTGTTCTGATGTCATGTTTTGGTACCTGCTCAGCCCGGTTGGAACCACAGAGCCAAGGGTTCTGAAATAAGGGACTGGTTCTACGTACCATTACTAATGGAAAAGCCTTGGAACCGTGCTGAGTCGAATTGAGTCGTGCTGTACCATTACTAATGGAAAAGGGGCAATATTAAGCAACATGACCATCATTTCCTGCATATTAGTCTCAAGTTTAATTATGGCCCCCTCAACACCATAGCGCCATTCCTGAGTCGTGCTGAATCCATTTTGGCCAGATTATACTGACAAGAACTGGGTTTTGTTTTTGCACACAACACCAAACAACAGGAATGGTTTAAAATGTTTAGTGATAAACAGCTACAGGTGAAGGTCCGGGTCCAAAGGTGGGTCCAATCTGTAGAGACAGAGGAGTTAGTGATCTCGGTTTTACTGTGAAGGTTCAGAAGGTTACTAAGGCAGTCACTAACCTTTACAGTCTGTAGAAAGAGGAACTCCTTTGGTGAGTAGGAGATGATGACGTCACTCCCTGTAAGTGAGCAGCAGCAGAGAAGCAGGTTGGCGTAGTATGTAGTTCTAGGGAGAGTCCAAGGGCAAGGTCCAGTAGGGAAAGCAAGGGTCATGCACAGTTGATCAGAGAGCATAATCCAAAGCCAAATTGTGATCTGTGAGACGTAGTCAAGGAGGTGGGAAGCAGAGTCAATACCATGGTCAGAAAGCAGACTCTAAAACCAGTAAGGGGCAGGCAAGGTGAAGAGTCCGCGATTCAGGCGTGGGGTCAACACGAGGCAAGAAAACAAGGCTGTGACGTAATTGCTGGACATCTACTGTCTGCTGGACATCTACTGTCTAAGAGTTTGATAATCTGGCACTGGCTGAGAGTTGACGTGGAGCTTAAGAAGGGTGGAAAACCGGTGCATATGATGAGTGCTGATTGTGGTGACAAGGCAGAGGGGGTGTGGTGCAGAGTGACAGGAGCAGGTATGAACAGAGACATGACCAGAGGAGAAACAGAGCATGATCATAGAAAACTATGGTATGAATGGGCAGAAATGTGCCAGAAATTATGTTAAACCTTTACATGCCACCCCTTTGAAAGTTCTACCTGTAATAACATAATATATTTTATGTCTATCATTCACAGGAAATATTGAAAATAAATGATGATTTGATTTGTTGGGTTTTCAAACCCCAAAATTGATCTCGTCTCAAAAGTGGCACATTAGAAATTGAAAACTTGAGAGAAAAGCATCAATCCTTTTGTAGTGAACAAACATTTACTTTGGTTTTATCCCTTCTGATCTAGTTTTTCTTCATTATGTCTGTAGTAAATGCAGTCTTTTTTTTTCATGAAACTAGAAACACACTCTTCATCCCTTCTTCCATTCTACATAGTCTTCATGGAGTGGAGGGTAGCACTGTTGCAGGTTCCTGAAGTTCAGACTCTGTCAAGTTTCTTCCTCTTCCCATCTCTGTTAGGCAGAGGGGTCTGAAAATTTGCTGATGTCGAGGTGGCAACATCCTCTCCTAAATTAAGTTATAAGTTCCTTATGTAAAATTTGCTTCTAAAATCTTGTTTACCTGTCTTTATTAGCCATCTCCAGAGGGATTTTGTTACTTACGTGTAAACATTTTGTTGCAGAAGCATTACTCTGTTCAGCATGTGTTGACACTTAATTATCATTATAACTGATAAGTTGATATGGTATGTAAAACCAACATGCATTTATAAAATAATCAAATATAAAAGTAAAGTGGAACTGGTTCTGTTGCTTTATGCAGTTTTTTTTTGTTTTTTTTTTTTTTTGCCCTATGGGCAGCAGGAATGTTTTCATTTACTTAAGTCAAGCATTTACAACAGGAATGTAGGCAATGCACAGTGGTAAAGGTAATAGTCTTTTTTTCCTGATTCTTTTTCTTACAGTTTATTTTTGTCTTTTTCTTTTTCTTTCAGAATAAACAAAAAGTGAAAGAGAGGGAAGTAACATTTGCAGCTCAGTAAATGGACTCATTCCCTTATTGTACATGAAACAAACAGAACATGAGCATTCCTACCAGTTTTCATGAACTAAGGGTCCATGTTGACAGAGGAGAAACTGTTGGAAACAAAACCCTGATCAGTTTTACCTCATCTGGTAATTCCAACCAAATAAAATCAGGTACCCACCAAGTAAAAAGAGGTTTTATTGAGGTCACAAGGTTCAGCACAAGCTCTATTCCTCCGCTTGTCTGCCAACGTGATTCCACGGACAAGATAGTGATCTGTGGCTCAGAGCAGCAATGCATGGAGCCTGAACTTAGAGAGTTTGAACATTTGGATTACCAGGAGATACACACATTCTCGAGAAACAGAAGTGAGGACAATGAACAAGAAGAAAATGGAGAGAGTTATAGAAATGAAAAAGAGAGTCCCATGTCCTTATCTTCAAGTTCAACTGCCAGCTCTGCCTCAGTTGGTGTGAGAAGAAATGACAACAGCAACAAAATGGAAAGCAGAATACAAATGGACAAAGAGAAAAGGATTGGCTGTCACAGCACTGAAGAAATAGACAAATATATCACAGGTTCTAGAGAGAAAATGGGCACCCAGTCAAGCAATGACAGGTGGAAAAGTGGTTTGAAGGAGTCAAAGTCTGAGACAAATGTGTTTGTCTCCAGTCTGACAACTGTTGCTCTCAGTGGAAGCCTATCTAGTGCTCTGAATTCTAGTGGAGTTGTATCCCTCACCTCTTTATCCAAATCCAAACCTTCTCCTAATGTCAACAATGCTACCTCAGCCCATTCCAGCAGAAGGGCAGGCTCTGCAGATGCCAATCGGAAATCTCCTCAAGAGAAATATGACTGTACTCAGTACTGTAGCCAGGAACAAATACTAGAAGAGAGAAATCACAGAAATGGACTTTCCTCTGATGGAGTCCTGGGCGGAAGAAGAAAGGCTCAATTTGAGGAGAGGATGTTGCCACCTCGACGGCAGCAAATTGTCAGACCCCTCTGCCAAATAGAGATGGGAAGAGGGAGAAACTTGACAGAGTCTGAACTTCAGGAACCTGCAACAGTGTTACCCTCCACCCTGAGTGTCTCCTTAGAGTTACACACAAGTAGGTCAAACAAAAAGTTTGCTAAATTGTCCCTACGGGAACCATCAGATTTCTCCCACTTGTACAACAATAAAGGAGCCTACCAACAGAAGCAGCCAAACCAGGCAGTGCAGAAAGAGGCAGCAACAATATCAAAACATCCAAGTACAGCTGCACAGTTCACATCCGATCCCTCAAACACATCCATCCAGGAGAAAAAACCTCAAACTCAGTTGACATACCGAAAGAACTGTTCAAGTCCTAACAGGACTGGTGTTGAATCCAAGTCAACTACACCTCCCCAGTCCCCACCCAGGACACCCCAGGGCTTCCCACACAGGCCCTCTATGTACCTCATTTCCAGGAATGTCTCTGGAGTGCCTAGACATGCACCAGCAGGATCCACCCCAGCGATACAAACATCAGCATGTTATAGCAAACGTTCCTTGGGACTACCAGTAAAAACTAATGTAACAACGTCTGGAGTCCCTAAAGTGCCTCCTTATATTCAGCAAAGCTCTTTCAACTCTAACCCCAAAGAGAGCTCAATATCACCAAAGCTTAAGCCTAAAGGAGTTCGACCCAAGATCATAACCTATGTCCGTAAGAATCCCCAATTTACACCCCCGTCTTCTGATAGATCGTATCAGGTATCATCCCTACCATCTCGGCTTTCGACAAGTGTCCACAGACAAATACCCACTCCTTTCAACAGCATAGCTAAAGATCCTTCTAAGACTGATGCAGAAAACCTGGGAGTCCCAGTACTCAATGCCTCCAATGTTATTTTTAACAAGTATTGCCAAGAAATGCAGGTGAACAGTTTCCCAGCAAGACTGCAGAGTAGGAGCCTCAAGGCTCCTGGACACACAAACACAGGCCTCTTAGCACATTCACAGAGTCATAATCAGTCTCCAAAACAAAGTAGCAGAGTGGACAACTTATATGTGGCATCAAAGGTGAGTGACATTTTCAGACTCAACTTTAAAACTCATCTAAGGTTTTGTAATATCTTTATAGTAAATTATTCCATTTTAAATGTCCTGAATTTGGCGCTCATTCACAACAACAACCACAACAAAAAGTGTAAGGCAGTTTTCCGTTTGGTTTTCTTTGTCAATGGGCAACAGATATTACTATGAAACAAAACGTGAAAGAAACTTCTGGGGCCTCATGTACAAAATCTTGTGTGGATTTCCTACTGAAACATGGTGAATGCTTAAACTGAGAAAACAGTGTACGCACAGATTAATCTAGATTAATCAAACCGTGCGTACGCATGAAACCAAGCACTTTTCCTTTGTACACCCCAATTAACATGAAAATGAGCACACATAAGGAAATATCCAACTCCTTCCTTGCCATGCCACAATTTAAATATGCAAATAGATTTAAATGTGTCCTGCACCTGAGGAATTTCCTCTCTGCACTATTGAAAAGCATGTCTAGATGCAGGAAAAAGAGGAATTTCACAGAATGTGAGTTGGAGATGATTTTAAATGAGGTAGCGGTTCAGAAAAACATTCTGTTTGGCACTCTGTACACCGGCATTAACTCCAAGTTCAAGAGGAGTGAGTGGGACAATGTGTGCAAAGCTCTAATTGCTGTGGGGTCAGAGCAGCACACCCCCACAAAAATTAAGAAAAAAGTTCAGACATATTGGGACGATTATATGAATTTACTCACCAAGAAGCTACCATAAAATGTATCATCCACACTGTGCCAGCTTGTAGTCTGTTCCAACCATGCAGTTCATTAGAATGAGTGAATTGTGCCTTGAACCAGGCCTCCTCGCCACAGTGTTGGTTAGCTTCTTTTGCGCATGACATAATTTGCACATTGATTAAATGAAAAGACGTTTTGTTAACATAAACATCTTAATCCTGTGATGGAGCTTTTATAGCAATGTATGTGAGTCGATAGCTCAAGGTTCAAGGTTCTTTATTGTCATTCGCATCACATCATGAAGTGGAACGAAACTGTGTACTCAGGGTCCCAGTTACACCCAAAAATAGGAAACTGGCTGTCACTACAAACTGCTCTTTAGTGTTGGCCTGTTCAGCTGCATTATGGGAAATTGGATATTCCTGGTTGGCATATGGATAAGGCCATCCCACACAGCTGGCATGGCTCAGCTCAGGTTCGACTGGCACAGTCCTGATCAGTTTGCTACCTCTCTCTGGAATGCCCCTGTTGCTATAGGAACCTCAGTGTGGTCAGCAGCTGTATATGTATGGCAGCATACAGCTCCTTACTCTGTTGCACTCAACTGGCCACCGATCCAAGCACAGTTCTAAAAGGATTGTCCTTGGAAGCCTAAACTGGGCTGATGAGCCAGTTATCATTGTGGGCCAGAAAATCGTCTCTGTCTCTAAATACACACTGTGTGCCATTTGCTATGTCCTTTAGTAAGGCGAAAGCCATTGTTGTTAAAGGAATTTTATGCACCCCTTTGTGCATGCTTTCATATCCACATATCTATATGCACACATGTGGATGTATTAATTATTTATCATGTGTATCCTGTGTGTGTACAGTAATAGTTTTCATATCATAAACTGTATCCCAGAATCTGAGTGTCACCCTAAGTCTCACCAATGAGCCATTAACCATAGAAATGTGTACAGCAGCCATGACGTTGTTGTGGGGTTGGGCACATTTCCACGGTCGTTTCATTCTTGATACATCTGACATTTTGCATGAAAAAGGGCATACACCACTTTAAAAAACTTTGTACATGAGGCCTGTGGACATTTTCTACCAGTAAACCATATAAATGATTAAAACTGATCTGCATTTTATTCTCTCAACAAATAGTGCTGCAGGTTATCACTTAAACACTGATTTTACTCTTAAAAATGTAATTTAGCATGCATGCTCATATTTAGATTGGAGATGCCTGTTGTAGTCCAAATCTCATCTTATATTACTAGAACTCATTTAATACATAATAATGCAATTGAGATGCAACATTCATTGGTTAAAATATAAATTTGTACATTTTTATTTAACTTTTTTTTCAGAAACAAACTGATATTCATATTTTTATGTATTTACAATACTTTATTTGAACAGGTTGTGTTTCAGAGCTTGAAAAAAATGTTGGACATCCAAGAAGTGTCTGTCACTCACGTCTGTGATTCTGATTTCTAGATTGACAGGTCCATGAGTTTAAAAGGCAGCTCTGCTGAAGATACCTTGGGCAGGACAGCTGTGCAGGTTGGGGGGAGCAGCAATCTTTTCTGCTCGGGCAGAGGTTTACGTCTTGGTTTGGGAGCTGTCACCAGGTCAGCCTCAGTCTCAGCCAAGAACAGAGCACCCAGTCCAGGACAGAGGTCAGCGCCGGTCCTCAGCCAGCAAGTCCAGCCTGTCAGCCCAGCAACCAGCCAGAAAATCCAAGATAACACAGGTTGATTACATATTTCCTCACATTATGTGTTTTTGAGCAGATTCATATTTTCACAGCAAGGCTTCCAAGAGCTTCTTCTGATGGAGCAATAAGCAGTTGAGGGTCCTTTCCCCCCACTTGCAACTTGGCCTGAGATGAAGGCAGCTCTTCTACATGCATTCATTGAGGTCAAGTTTGGCAGATCGGATTGGACGGCTTTTACATATAAATATGATGGGACTTGTTCTGCTCCAGAAGGCAGCGATCTGAATACCAAAATAAATAAATCATAAATCACTCATACTTTCTCTTTAGCAAATTTATAATTCTGAGTTTTCTGATTGTACCTCCAACTGCTAAACTCAGATTTAGATTGAACAGTTTTCAGTGAGGTCATTTGGTATGTTTCTTTCTTTTTTTGTTTTTTTGTACTGAGACATTTCGCCTTCCATCCAGAAGGCTTCATCAGTCTGAGGAAACACGAAGCAAAACTGCTTCTACTCCAGCAGCTTACTCCAAAGTGGAAAAAAAAACCAGTCACCGGTATGTTGGTGCCAAGATGGTCTCTGGGGCACGCCCTTTCCTCCGGTGCCCACCCTCTCCCTCGTCGACAGTCCTGTCAAACTGGTTCAAAACACCAAAGCCTATGCTCAATAATTCAAATAAAATACCTTAAAGAAATCAAAGTGGACAGCTTCAGATCTTTTTGCAAGGTGTTCCAGGTTGCAGGAGCAGAGTAAGAAAAGGTCTCTTTGCCGAGTTTAGGCTGCACTGAAGGGACGCTGCAGGTAATGATGTCTTGAGAGCGCACGCTGTAGCTGCACTGACGATATAGCATGTGGGAGAAGATATAAGGCAGCAGACCAAGAAGTGATTTATAGATGAAGATGTACTGGTGTGAGAGACTACGTGTAGATAATGATGACAACTGACCATTGAGTACAGGGTGCAGTGATGGTATGGTAGTTACAACTAGTTATGAATCTTAGTGCACCATGGTAGACAGCATCCAACATCTGCAAGGAACACCTGGAGAGCTGGTGCAAAGAGAACAACCTTCACATCAATGTGAAGAAGACAAAGGAGATGATTGTGGACTTCAGAAGGAACAAACACACCTACAGCCCCCTGAACATAAGAGGGTCTGTGGTGGAAGTGGTCTCCAGCTACAAGTACTTGGGTGTACACATGAACAACAACCTCAGCTGGAGCAACAACACCACCAGCCTGATGAAGAAAGTTCATCAGAGACTCTACTTCAAGGGCGTCAGAAGCATCCGTAATGTGTGTGTGTGTGTGGGGGGGGGGGGC